GGGGGGGGGGGGGGGGGGCACCGGGGTATACATTGGGGGGTGGGGTAGAAGGTCAGAAGGTAGCGGTTCAGTCTGTGTGATTGATTGCGTCGTCGATCGCTCGTGTGCACTCCTCTCCGCGCATTTTCCACCGGCACAGCAGACCCAAAACCCTGGAGACAACGTGCTAAACACTTTAGTTCCCGGTCGCAACGTGTAGTGCAGCAGCACATAGCGCCTACCTCCGCGAGGTGTTGACGACTCTCTTCATCATGAGCTTGTAGCGCGGCTCGAACAGGTGCAGCTGCAGGCTCTCTCCAGGAAACATGGGCACGTTGTCTGGAACAATTCGATACAAGATTGGGAGAAGAACGGGGGGGGGGGGGGTACTCATAGTCGTGCATGCCGTAATCGTTAGACCATTGACCTCCCATCCCTACAAAGCCGGGACGGAGCATGCCAGGTTCTCACCGGACTAGGCTCTCACGTCACCAAGCGCGAAGCGCCGTGAGGTATTCGGCGAGTCGCATAAAGGGTGCGCTGCATCCTGCTAAGCATGTTCGGCATCTTGTGCTTACTTCCTTGCCTACGGATGACAGCTGCGTATGACTTAATTTATTTTCTGGTGCTTTCACTTCCAGAGACAGCTGTAAGCGGTGTGTAACTGCCTCGAGGGTGCTTGACCAATATTAACACAACGTGCGATCATCCCCTTTGCGCGGAGTCAGGGTTCTCGACTCCGCACAACATGATCTACTCGACCACCAGTCATGGTTACCGCAAAAAAAAAAAACGAAGGCAAAAAAAAAAGCGGTAACCTGGTTGCCGAGTTCACGAAGTGAATTGGCTTGTTTTACAACATCGCTGCCAAGCGACGAAAACCCAACCCCGATGGCAAACACCGACGGGGGGGCTTGTTTTACAACGGGGGGGGAGGGCTAAGAAGTAGTGATGGATATTGAGGCGATTTTTCAGGCGTGAATACGGGCGGTGGTTGATGGAGGATGTTGTGATACTATTATTGTAGCGACACACCAAAACATTTCTCTTGACGATGGAAGAAGAAAAAAAAAACGGGACCGCGGCAACGGCGGCGGTAGCGGGCATCAACAGCAGTCTCTCATGCTCTGGAAAAAAAATAAGCCGAGAGGCTGTAGTTCGGGTTCGGATGACGACGACTAACCGGGAGAGGACCACATTTGACCAGTGGCATCATCCGCTGACTAGAGGGGGCATACCGAAGTAAAGTTGCGAGGACCCTCTTGCCCAGAAGAAGAAAAAAAAAACGGCCAATGACGAAAAAACGGCCGTGTTAAGGAGGCCGCGGTGTTGACGAACAAAGCGATGAGAGCAATGGCAGCATGCCACGGTGCAAAATGCCAACGATAACCGCCGACTCAAAGAGCTGTTCCAAGCTAGAACAAGGCCCGAGCGTGGGGCAGAGGGGAGTGCTCACCTCCGCTCCTCCGCGTGCCGACACGCTAGTGTCGGGACCCCAAAACGCCGGTTGCCGATACACACACCAGACTACGTCATCAAGCTCCTCTTCAACGTACACTCAGCGTCACAACTTTAAAAGACGCTATCCTACTCAACAGGGCGCGGAAACACTACAACAAGCTGTCGGATTAGGCCACCAAACCACCTTACACTCCACCACCACTAGAACGACGTGACTGACTGACGCACAATAAAAGACGGGCAGCACGGTCATGAACTTCTCCCGCTCCGCCTCCACCTCCTTCAGCCGGGCCGCCGCGAGCTCAGGGAAGCAGGTTCGGGCGATGTTGGCGAGCATCACGTCCTCCGGCTGATCTTCCGCACTGTGGAATTATTATAGCAGTATTCGTTTTGGCACTTGTTGGTTCATGTGCGATGAGCGTGTGCAAACAAGCAGGCGGGAGGTAACGTTTTTGCTGACAACGAGTTCGAAGATGTTTGGTCTATATATAAGGTCTGTAAGCGAAACATGAACATTGATCCTTCGAACAAACCATGTAAACATCGCGCCCCCAGCTGTCATTTTGCATACATATGTAGGAGCTGCGATGGTGCCATTTTTGAGACAAGCGAATCCGCGCACAAGGCCGCGCGGAAATCACTGCGCTCCATGTACACTTTAAATATGTGGCTGAAGAACAAAAGAGTGCCCGAATATTTTGAGGTTTCTCTGGTAGAAGAACAAACCTACGGCGTCACATGGCCGGCATGTAAACCTTGCTCACACGCATATGTATCAATTTTGAGCGCAAAGAAAAGAGGTGATGGGCAACGTGCGATGATGTGTGTGTGTGTGTGTGTGTTTACTACTTTTATCGTAGCATCGACCGCGCTAACCGGCTGACCAATTTATCATTCTGTTACTACTTATCGATGGCTTTGGGGGGGGGGGGGGCAAGACGAATAAAAACACAAATGCTCGCCTGTTGTGACACACCGCTCGACACGTGGGGCACTTCTTCTTGTTCCGGCGTAGGGTGTTGACGAGGCAGACCCTGCAAAAGGAGTGCCCGCAGCTGAGGCTCACGGGCTCGCACACCAAAAACAGGCATACGGCGCACTCCAGGGCAGCCAGCGGGAGAGTGGCGGTGCCCCCGGCGCGCCCACCTGCACAAAAAGAACAAAAAAAACATAACAAAATGGTACATACGAAAAACAAACAAAACAGCAGTTGAGCCTGTAACCCACAGGGAGGGGAGATATCGCTGTGTGCAGGTCGGGAAACCGTAGAAATACAGCTAGTCTCCGCTGACGCGATATTTTCATTGCTTATCTACGTAGACTCTTTTCTACCAAGGGTTAGAAATGGAATCGTTGTTTCATACTACGAAAAGGAAAAAGAAGTGGACGAATATCGAGAGCGTCGGATAGAGATACGAGGCTAGGCCGGCGCATACGCATGTTTAAGACGCTAGATTGATATCTTCATTGGCTATGATGTTCTTCTTGCCGTCAACACGTCAACACCCGCTTTGCGACTGCTGTGAACGACGCGAACAAAGCGGCATTTCACGTGGGTCATGACGCCTGCAGCTATTCCTTCGCTTTTTTTGCTGTAAAACCACAATGATTTTTCATCTCTATATATCAGTTTAGAGTCCGGGATAGAGGTATTCTTTTTTACAAACCGAAATCCCACCACAGCAAAGTACCTCCGTTGTTAGTGAAGGAAGACAACCAACGGCACAGGCCCCGGCAAATTTGTTCCGGTAAGTTTCACTGGCTTCTCAAGTGTCGGTACCACGGCGTGAACGTACCAAGCCCACCATCCAACAAGAGTCCTCAAAACTTGCGGTGAAGAATTCAACTTGCGTGTTCCCCGCCGGGCTGATATTTCGAATGGGTTGTCAATTTTTGCCCCGGTGGTCTAGCAGTATCTAGCAGTAACCTCGTATGTACACACATACGTAAGTAGCAGGTTTGGAATTCGATTCTCTCTCCGGAGTGGAAAGAGAACTCTGCAGTTTGCATTGAGAAAGCGATTGACTCGTGAGCATACACGCTCTTCTTCCGCTCACGGTGGACGAGGGAAAGGGACGGGCTCAACCCTCCCCAGGGAAAAAAATGACAAAATGAAAAGTGCGGCGAAAAATCAAACGAAAGTGCGGCTGCTTGAATCCGGCTGGTAAATTTACGTCCAACTATCAAGTACTGCAAGGTACACCAGAAGGTGCGTAACAACTGGCGCCAGAAATTAATTAGGAAACGAGCGCTCACAGCAGTTCTCGCCGTAAACTGGCGTCTTTGACTTATCATGGTCGATGTTATTCGAAGGAGAAAGCAAATAAGCACACAACAAGCTGCCGCAAAAAAAAAATACAGTTGTACTGACTGTAGCAAGTAAAGGAGCAGTATTCGGTATTCGGTTAGTTCAGTTGTAACGAAAGTCAAACTTTGTGGCCTTCTTTCTTCCGCATTCTATCATCTATCATATGCCCCTCGAGAGAGAAGATAGACAGACGGAGAGAGTCAGACAGACACAAGAGGAGTGCTGGCACTGGTGACTCTCTTGCACACGATCCATGCTCCGATATATGCTGGTGAGGATGGCAATATACCACGAAAAATCATTGAGCAAGTACGGTGAGTGGGGAGTTGATGATTTTCATACAAGCACCAAGATATATATATTTTTTTATTTTCTTAATATGACACGACGAATCCATCTCTATCTGAGAAAAGAGTCTAAGATAGATTAGCAATGAATCCATAGCGTCAGAGGAAGGCTACCTGTATTTCCACGATTTCCCGAGCAGCACACAGCATCTAATAATAATTGCGCCGAGTATGTAGATACGGATGATGCTCTGATGGTAAATTTGTACCGGCTTCATACAACGTGGTTTACAGCAGTAGATCTCCAGCTATCGTACAAAGGAGGGTCGGGGTCGGCCGGTCCTAAACGAGGGTCACGCATCCGCCAGAGCTAGCGTAGTCCTAACATGCACTCGTTCCGATAGAAGCTCGTTGCCTGGGCCTCGACGCCGCTGTGCGGCGTTGTCAGCTCGTGGTCGTTACACGAGCGGGTGCCGACGCAGTATGACTCATTCATGTGCCTCTTGGACCGGGGAGATTTCGACGAATCCCGGGGACATTTTCAGACCGTTTGCACTCAATTGCGAAGCTATCACAAGGCCAATCGCGCCGGAACTTTTTCCCTAGCCTATGAGAACCCGACCTCGAACGTTTCCGCACAACGTAGGACAGTTAGGGCCATCCTAGCGGTGGCACGGGAGGTCGAAAACTCTGAAGAAAGAGGAGATGGATCTGGACATCGGAACACTGCTGTGTTTGTACAACACTTTTTCGGCGCTACAGCCTGAAATCCTCTGCCAATGAAGCTGCGAACACCAACGCTGCAAACGTCACGGATTCCATGATAGCTAGTCAGAGCTAGACAGGTGATGACCCCGGCTTGAAGAATTGGCACGCGCAGGTAACGCTTGCTCCTGGACCCTTCGCGAGGAGGTGTTAAGGTGTTCAACTACAGCGGCTAAATAATGTGTGAGTGGACACAGAAAACTCAGACTTTGGAGACATCAAGTCAACAACCGATTTGGCCTGAGCGTTCACTGACCAACCACAGAACTAAAAAAAACACGGACAAAGTCTCCGAACCTTGAGGTGTCTTGCTCATCCCTCCACCATCGCCCTTCCCCGAGGCGGTCTCCCTCGTAAGGTCCATGCGGCGCGTGTGTGGCACACAACAAGCATGCTGGATGATGCGATGGGATCTTCGTAGATGTGCCGTTGGATTTCGTTGGATTTTAAAGGTCAGCGCCGCACCTCATTGGCTCACCAAGAGATGACCAGATGACCCGTCTACGTTTTCCGCTCTGCTCTACAGTCTATCTCCTGATCTCCCGCCCTACCTACCTCTCCCTCCTCTCCCCGGAGCCCCCTGCCTGTGCCTGCCCTGCCCGAAGACTGGCGACTATGACTCTCATAACCATAGTCCTTGTTCATCACTGCCAGCTCTAGGAGGACGCAATGGCAGCAGAATTCGCCGACGTGACGAGGCTCTTGCAAGCCACAATCAAGGAGATAGAGGAACGCTGCGGGTCCTTCGAACACGCTTCGATTAGGATGAAAGACGTGATGGCCGGCGGGGCCGCGTGGACCCAGAAGGGGCGAGGAAACGCCGCCATCGCCGCCGCTCGTTGGTGGTGGGCAGAGGTGCGGGTGTCTGGAGAGTGCTTGCGCGGAAGGTGGTGCACAGCAGCAGCATGGTAGGCAATGCGTTACGCTCAGGACGCGTTTGAAATGTGTGAAGAATTAGGCCGCGGTCTGTTCAATTTCAAATTTTGCAGAAAAAATAAGAGCGGTTCCAACTTGCAACGTTGCAACGCTGCATTTTTGAAGGTGGGAAACGCATTTGTAGCTTCTTGGTCATATCAGTTGAGGTGTCCGCACCACTTCTCTGCATGATGTGCCGATTATGTCCTTCACTGCTGATGGTCTACGCTATGGATGCTATCAATATGGCCTCAACGAGCCGACAGGGGCTACAGCAGTAGATGCGTCATCCAAGCAAGTTCTCCGCCTCGATTCGGAAAGTTGCGGCTCGTATGTATGCGTAGAAACAACAACATAGCATACAGGTAGGTCCAGCAAGTTGTCGAGGAGACGTTCAGCGTTCCTGTGAAGGCATAATGTTGCGACATAACGGAGGGTTTCTCCTCGATATTGTTGTCGTTGACCCGGTAGATACTGTAAAGAAGACGACAGGGGAATATTATGCGTGTCTGTGATTATTATTAGAAGCTGCTGCAGCAGCTGCTGTCTTGTTTACTTGTTCATCACGTCGGCATCATTTCCCGCCGAAACCACTGCTGTACAATACAGCAGTAATTTGGGCGGTAACTGGCCACCACGGTAAATTCTGTACCGCAACTGGTCACCACGGTAATTTTCTTGTACGGTAACCAGCCACTACGGCAATGTACAGAAATGTGCATTTTTTTCCGGTAACCGGTAACCACGGCGGTAGTTCTTTCTTGTACGGTAACAAGTCACCACAGAAATGCACGCAAGTGTGCTATTTTATTTGTTACCGTAAATTGTCACCACGGTGTAAGCAAAGGTACCGTAAGGTTGCGGGTCAGCGCACGGTCCGGAGTTTTCGCACGGTCCGGAGTCATCGCACAGGGGTGCGACGAAAATTAAATGGCATAATTATTTAATTCGATTCCCGCACAGGGTCCGGAGTTACAATACCGCACAGGGGTGCGATGACTCGCAACCTACAGTAGGGTGGTGGTTGATTGCCAGCGATTCCGGGGTAATTTTCACCCCTGCAACTATGCCAGTGCTGGTATGTAGCTCTGCTGTATGTATGGGTAGGTAGGTCATCGTCGCATACCACACGTGGATGTATGAAGGAAATGAAACACTTGGTATTTCCATTGGATCGGTAAACTTGAACATTGTCCATTCAACCAAAACACGAGAAGAACAAAAAACAGCCATCAGCCAAAACAACTAGCAGCAGTAACTACCCATGGGCCAGCACCATGGAACAACAGCACTATTGTACCTGTGTTCTACTTCTTTCGCTACGAAACAAATTTCAACCCCGTCACCACCAGAAACACCTAACAGCGCCAACCTCTGTACTGCTGGGATGCTCACACAAGCATGTTCGGGCAGCCAACCTGCCACTACTGGTGTGTGTGTGTGCTTTCTCGAAAACCTAGCATCCATCGGGCTAACTGCTGTGGTTGGCTGACGTGCGCATGTGTGTGTACGTTGCGTGTGGAGCCTGCAACCGCAGCACAACTGAGGTGTCCGTGCGTCTGCAAAGTTGTTTCTTTCAAGTACCGCACATACCGGAGTTATCGCACAGGGGTGTGCAGGGTTTACTCAGGACCGCACATACTGGAGTCATCGCACAGGGGTGTGCGTCATGTATCGAAACCAAATGATTTAATTCAATTTCCGCACAGGGTGTGGAATCATCGCACGGTCCGGAGTCATCGCACAGGGGTGCGATGAAAATAAAAATGGCGAAAATGTTTAAAAAACGACCGCACGGGGGTGCGCTGACCCGCAACCTTACGGTGTAAGTCGTTGTACAGTTAACCACACCATGGGCACGTCGGGCCCTGTTTCGTTTGCTTGCTTTCAAGTGTTCCTTACGCGGTCACCGCTCAACAAACGTGCGCGATACGTTCACCGAGCGTAACGTCCGTCAACCAAATTTGAAACCGGTCGCATGGAAAGAAGGGTGAAAACCAGACAGCATATATCCGCTTTGTTGCAGGCAGGCTCTCGTGGCCTCTAGACGACGACGTAAGTCCAGCGCTGCGCCAAGCAAGTATTCATCAGCAGAAAGGGCATCAGGCAACAAACAAGCGCCGACTTCCCAGTCCACGGAGAAACGGTAATTGCTGCAAGTGCATACCGATTTGCCTAGAGGGGCACATGAGCATTTACTGTGGCGTACAATAATGTGCTTGGTGTTTCTACGCCGTAGATGGGATTCTAATGTTCTTTCGGTAATGTACTCCGCGGTAACTCGAAAGCGCGTGAAGTGCGATATTTGCGCGGTAGTTTTTTGTAACGGTAATGGGGCAATTCAATTTGTTCGCTAACGGTTTGGGCGCGACGGTAATGGCAAGCCCAATTTTCACGGAAACAATTGGGATGGGAGCCGTAGTTACCGTGGTTTTTCCGCAGCAAAGTTACCGCATGCCCAGTATCCAACCAGTAAATCGAGCTTAAGCGCCCTTTGTGAGCCCCGTCAAGAGCCCCTACTTGTATACTCGAACCTATCTAGCGGCCCTGTAGCCCACAAGAGGAACGAAGAGAGCCCCGGCCTCGACAAAAACTACAGCCGGCGCCACATATCTGTACTGCTGGAGTCTACAGAGGGGTCCGTGTTTAGTACTGGTATGTACCCTGAGAATTCACCGTGCACTGACGATGACTTGGAAATTCAGTGTGCGCCCGCCGAAAACACCGGCAGTATACCGGGCGTTGGCACTATTCAACCGGCACTAAACAGGGACCCACCCCCCTCTGTACCGCGTCCCACCAAGTAAGAAAAAAAAAAAGTGCTTCCTACCGCCGTGTTTAGGAACCTTTTTGCACTGCGCAGTTTGTTTTGATGTTTAGGTTACGGTTGGATGGGTACAATCGAAAGGTAGGACATTTTTGTACGTAACACTGTCAGTCTTGTTCGCGAATTTATCCGGGACATTTAGTAGACTGGACTTTTTTATCGATGTGATGGAGACTAATTTTTGTATTGATTCCGAACAGGAAACATGAACAGAGAGATGCGAACAAATCCATTCTATTGGGCTGCTGCGGTACCATCTCGAACGGTTGTCAATAGTGCTGCTTTTGTGGTTCATGTCTTGCGTTCAGAATGTTGAATCCCACACCTCATGCTCGTCCCGTCATCGTGGACAGTCCTGTGGCGAATCATGAAAAATCCCAGATACCAAGTGACACCAAGACGAGCATATCGTCGTTTTCACGCACGACGTTTGGTTGCAACTTCCCTCCCATCTTGCGCCGACTTTCATCAGCTGGCCACCACGTGACGTGCCCAATCGATCTTTCTCTGCTGTGGTGTTTATCAGTGTTGTGGTACTCTGCCTTCCAGATAGGTTTCAGGGATGTACCCGCACATCGAACCCATCTATCTCTCGTATGTATCCCTCTATAGTATCGTCACCCGATGCATCATATGCGTGATGGCCGTGGAGTTCGATGGCTGACAGACCACTGCACCTTCCGCCTGGCTGCACGCGCCTTCTTCCTGTGTGCTGCCCACGTCTAATGGTTATGTGTGTCGTCGACACGCTATCCAGTACATGTCGGTGAAAGACGCTATCATGAGCCTCATCGACGGCAGGATTCGGCACGAGTGGCAAAGGTATCAGGTGAGACACACACACAATGTTTTCAACCGCATTGAGACTGACGTCTTTTCATTGGTCAGCCGGTTAGCGCGGAGTCGATGCTAATAATGAAAACACACACACACACCCGATGCCTCCCCCTCACGGGGTCCCAGTTAACGCACTGAGACTGACGTCTTTTCATTGGTCAGCCGGTTAGCGCGGTTCGATGCTAGTAGTAAAAGACGCACACAAACACATGCCCACCCCGCTGTTCATGCCGCGACATGGCGGAGGCTATATTATTATTTTTAACGAGGCGGAGAACATTAAGCACCGCTGCTTCATGAACCGCTTCATGTAGTCTTGCCGACAATAAGCACCTGTCCTTGTTGGCGAAATAGAGAGCGGGTACTACTGCTGCAAAGATTACGAGCCATCTCAAACACCCTGGACAGGCCTTCCGAAGCTCAGTTACTCCGCAAAGAAGAGGGTTCGAAAGCCAACCGACACGCGCAAGAGAAGCAAACTCTCGACGAGACCTTGCCGAGAACCCTATCTTCGTCACCGGCAGCCTGTTCGGTCGCGGAGCGATTGAGCCTTGAAAGTCGGTCAAGGAGGCGTGCTGTTTCGGTCCACATCGTCCGCAGACTCGAGAGTGGCCTCTGGTGCACTACTACCCTGTACCGACACTTTTTTTCCTCTCATGTACCAGGTACATATATATATATATTTTTTCTTTTCTTAGTATGACACAACGAATCCATCTCTATCATAGAAAAGAGTCAGAGACAGATTAGCAATGCATTCATAGCGTCAGAAAGTACCTGTATGTCTACGATTTCCCAGACAGCATATAGGGACATCTCCCCTGCGGGTAACAGTACATATTGCAATGCCGCAGCAGCACCGGAAACCGCAAAAGTGTTGGGGTGCGTGTTTTCCACTTGATACCAAATCAGCGGCGGCAGCGGCGTGGTTACAACGTTGGTCTCGCCGCCACAACCCCGTGCCGAACACGCTTCGGCGGGGTTCGTTTTTGCGGGAATGGTGCGTTTGAGGATGTGCTTCGTTGTCTTTCCCCTTCGCTACGCAGGCCGAGCGCACCCCGAACGTCGGTGGTATCCACTGGCAGAAGGCGGGCCTGAGGACCGGGGAGTCTCAAGACCATCTCCGTAGATTGTTGGGGAAAGCCGGAAGCAAGGTAAGTTCCCTGACTCCAAAAAAATAGTGCTCGGAAGGTAATGTTAATATTTGTGTTTCTCTGTTTCGCTTATTTTTGGGGGTTTGGGAAAGACACATATGCACACATACATACACACCCACGCATTCCTGTGCACGTTTTTCCCGTGTCGCATGTGTCGTGGTCGCTTTCCTCGACGGAGGTGTGCAGTTCGAAGGCGATTTCGACGCTCTCAACCTCAGGATAGAGGACCTGCAAGAATCCATCAAGCGCATCCGGGAGTACCTCGTCCGGAGCGTGCGCGCCTTCCGCGTCAACAAGTTCGGAGAGGAGACGCAGGAGCTCCGCCTGAGGCTCCGCGGGGGAGGGGGGGAGCTGCGCCTCCCCCCCCCCTGCGGCTACAGCCTCGCGGATTGCGTCTGCGGGGCGTCTTCGTCCCCTCCGCCGCCGGTACACGCCGGGAGCCTCGGGGATGCTATCGAGGCGGCAAGGAAAGCGGCGGCGGCCGCGACGGCGGCGGCGGCGCTTGAAGATGACGAAGAAGGAGAACAAGAAGAAGAAGAAGAAGAAGAAGAAGAAGAAGGGTCGTCTCGCAAGAGAGGCTTCGACGTCGCCGCCGGCGCTGCCGCTGGCGGGGACCCCAAGAGACGGCGTGGCGAACGCGAGGGCGGCGGCGACGGGGGCCGAGGCGCCGGCCAACGGGGCGGGGGCGCTCCCGCAGCGAGCGCTAATAGCGACGACGTGCCCGTGGACGAGATCAAGAGTCAGACGGGGAAGAACGCGCTGGGGCTCGCGCGCCGCAGAGCCGCTCTCGAAGAGGAAACAAAGACTGGTGCAAGGGGCGTGGGCGGGAAGAGGTCGAGTGATGGCGGCGGCGTGGTGTCGAGGGGGCGGGCGGCGTCTAGAGAGCCGGCGGAAGACCCCGAACACGCGCACGACGACGACGACGATGACGGCGGTGGTGGTCGGCGTGGGGTCGACGGGTGCGGTGGCGGTGGCGGGGCTCACGGAGATGACGATGCGTGGGCGGTAAGGCGGGGTTGGGTATGTGTTTGTTGTTCTGCCCTGTGTCACGTCTTGGTTCCGTGGTGTTCATTATCGTGCCATCGAACACTCTTTGTACCACCTATATATATTTTTTTCCACCACGCCATCCACTTTATTCTGGACTTCGGACTTTTTCACGTTTCGGTACAATTTCTGGACGCATGAGCCGGGGTCACACAGGAGGAAGGCCGCGCAGGAGTTTTACCACGGGGAAAAAACTTGGAACGGCCAACACAACGCCGGTTTTCTTGACTCCTTGCTGGTGGTGATAGACCTCGCCGCACAACATGGATGCCAATTCCCGTTCGGCGGCGTCGCTGGACGTGTTCTCGGTGTCGCCGGCGACTCGAGGCACACGTTCCTCGTTGCCCTCCAGGTCTATGAGCCTCAGGCGAATGGCCTGTATACCCTCCTGCAACCAAACAACGGCCACAGAGAGCCGCATTGGCCATAGGCAGCGCCATCCATATCATGCGAATGAACTATCAGCCCCTCATTTTTTTTTTTTTTCAATGCGTACAAAGTGAAGTACCCCAAAATGCACACCTCTTTTTTTTTGTGTCCAATCAGAACGGTGGGGACGGGGAAGAAGGAGGGGAGGACGAAGAAGAAGATGAAGAAGACTGGCAAGACGCCCTCCTGGGCATGCAACCGCACGAGCGGGCGGAGGCCTTCGAAGGACGAGAGATGTTCGCGGAGGCCCTCAGGTGGCACAGGCAGGACCTAGAGGCCGCGCGCGCTTGCGTCGTGTCGGGGGATGAGGAGGAGGAGCGGGGGTCGGTGCTCGACCTCGCTCGGGCGCTGCGGAACACCGGCCGCTGCCTGGGGAAACTCGGCAACAGCGGGTACGCCGAGGTGGGTTGTTTGCCGTGTTGATGTTCTTGATGGGCTGTGTGTAGAGGGTTGTACGCTGAGGCGGGTTATCGTGTTGCTGCTCTTGAAGGTGCATATGTGTGTGGAGGGTTGTACGCTGAGGTGGGTTTGGCGTGCGGATGTTCTTGAAGGGGTGCGTATGGGGGGGGGTCGTATCTGTGGATCGGCGGATGGCCGAGGCAGGCACCGGGACGGGGGCACAACATGTTGGGGGGTTTCTTCTTGAAGAATTACTGTCGGAGTCTTGAATAGGTTGATGTCGTCCGTTTGTACCAACTGCTGATGCCCGGAGATCTCTTTGAGTTGCGGCCTCCCACGGCGAGCTGGGAACATATCATTTTCTTCTTGGCAGCGCCCCTGAAGCGTGGCTGCAGGTTCCGGCATCCACGCCACAGCCGCATACCATCTCTCCAATCGGGGCCCCTTAATGTACGCGGTTTAGCCAGATTTCCACAACGCGACCTTACCGAGGGGTCCTGGCTGCTCATGGTTAGGGGCGTCTGCGGTCCTGCACCCGAGTACGGTGTACTGGCCCCTGCATAACGCCGCATAAATTAGGCCTGTCGCCCTCTTGCATAAGGCCATCCAAAAAGCGTGACACATATGGAATTCTCCTGGAATTTTCAAGTTGTCTCATACTCTGAATATTGCCGGGTCCCCGGTATAATAAGGCCAGCCAAATCGCCTGGCATTTCTGGAGCCTTGTGCAGGGACCACTTTACGTACGGAAGGCCATGCTCGTCACTACTATGTGTCAGAGCATGGTAATGTTATTGGCCCGATTCTTTCGCTCGCACCCGTTGAGAGAAGAGTCCCCCGCGCGGGTCGGGCGGATTCAAACAAGCGTTTCGTCGCCCTCAACAAGGGGTTCGGCAAAGCAACAAGTTTGCTCACGATCTCTCCCCCCCCCCCTATACCCTCCCCCCTCCCTACAGTCCAAGAAGTGCCTGACGGAAGCTCGTGAGCTCGTGGGCCATGGTGGGCCGTACCCCTCCCCTCCCGAGGAGCAGGATCTTGTGCTCGAGCTAGGGAACCTCATGTACAGCCGATACGTCCTATGTGACGAGCAAGGAGTGCGCTTCCTGGCGGACGAGGCCCTCGAGGCCGCCCTCGAGTACTACCGGGAGTCTCGAGAGCTGTGCGTCGACGTCGTCGCCGACAGCGTTGACGCGGGTTTCGCTAAAACATCGAACGGCGGGGTGTCCGAGTCCGCGGCGGCGGCGGCGGCGGCGGCGGCCGCCGCCACCGCAAGCGGCTGCCTGCTGAGAGCGGAGTACAACGTGGGCATGTCGTTGTTCGAGCAGGAGAAACGCAGGGACGCTGAGGGGCACCTCTCGGCCGCCGTCAAGATATTCCGACGCTTGTTCGCAGCCGGAGGAGGAGCTCAAGCTGGATCCACCTTCCACCCAGCCGCCGGCGGCGGCGAAGGGGAAGGAGCGGCCGCAAGTGTCGGGGCGGCGGCGGCGGCGGCGGCGGCTTCGACCCTAGACGCTTGGAAGGCGGCCGCGCGGAAGCAGGAAGGGCTGTCAGGCCTGGGAGGCGTGTACGCGTCTTCGCTGTATCTCCTGGGGGAGTGCCTAGCGTCGTCGTGTGTGCCGTCGTCTGCTCTTGAAGACGATTCCCGGCAGGGGCGGGAAAAAATTGCGGCGGAAACCCTGCGAGCCTCAGCGGAGGCTTTTCTCTACACCGGGGACCACTCGAGAGCCTTGCCCCCCCTGCTGATGCTGGTCGAAGTCCTGCGGCGGCGGCTGGCCGGCGGTGCCGGTCGTCATCATGGGGAGGAGGACGAGGTCCGCCGCCGCAGCCTCATCCTGGGGGTGGAGGAGTTGTGTGACCGGGCGTCCTCCGGGCTGCGGCTCCCGACGGAAGTCGACGCAGACGGCGATGACCCCGACGAAGACAGGCTTCAGCTCGACCATATTCGGGAGGGAGTCGCGGGTCTTCTTCGTGCCGCGCGCGGGGGGGTTAGCGGCGAAGAAGAGGCTGCTGCTGCTGCTGCTGCTGCTGCTGCTGCTGCTGCCGGCGCTGAGCGCACGGAGCGAGAGCAGCGCAAAGGCGGCGAGCCCGACGGGAGGGGCCGCGCGCACGCCCCGGAGGGGCGCACCAACTCCCCGCAACAGCAGCAGCAAGGACACGCCGCCGGCGAGGTTGCGGGCGCGTCGCCGTCGAGCCCGGCGCCGTTCAGACGGGTGGGTCCGGTGCCGACCTCCGCGTTCGCGCAGCGTCGCCGGCGTGCGAGGGTCGCCAGAGGCGGCGGCGGCGGCGGTCGGAAAGTTCTCGGAAAGTTCCCGGGGGACAGGAGCGCCACGTCCTCGGCCGTCACCACCGTCTCCTCGAGCAGGCAAACGTCCGGTACGGCAGTAGGCGCCGCCGGTGCCCAAGCGCCCCGAGGTGTGGGCGAAGGCGTGGTCGCCACGGGAGGGGGCGGGTTCGGTGGATCGGCGGGGGGAGAAGGATGGGTGGCTGGAGACGGGGGCGGATCGTTCGCGGGGCTGAGGGCTGCGGCGGCGGCCCAAGACGAATCGACGGCGGTATCGGCCGCTGCCGAGGGGAGAGCTCGCGGGGACGAGGTCGGAGGAAGAGACACGGCGCTCAGCAAGTACCTGGAAAAGGTGCATATACAGTAGTACGGTGTTGAAGCTTGTGGATGATACTGGTGGAGGAAGGAGATGGAATTTTGTGGAGACGTGCTCTGGCTGAAGAACGGCCGTACTGTGTGCGGAACGTGCATGTTTCTCCACAACCAAGATACACGCCACCGTCTGGATAGTCTCCCCTCCCCGACGTAGTTTGCGTTCCTGCGGAGGGGGTCGCTTCCCGTGGGTTTCGGCGCGCTCTTTGTCGTTCGCCCGGCATGGTGAGCTCCCCTTTCCCCCCTCAACAAGACGCTATCCTTACTCTCTCGCCCGCCCCTTCTCATGCCGTTCGCCTGCCTCCCTCCGCCTACCAACTTGCTGCGTGCTGTTTCTTTTGGTTTCCACGCCAGTGCCACCACCTCCAGGAGAAGCCCAATCCCCTAGCGTGCGCACGCCTCGCCCAGGCCGAGCATCGCGGCCTTGACACGGCCCCCGCCGCCGCCGCCGCCGCCGCGGCCGCCGCCGTGGACCCCGCCTGCGACGGCGACAACACCCACCGCCACCGCTCTCCACCCGCACCACACCAAGCCTTGGACCTTGGGGCTTGCCGCCTCACCGACCGGGAGCTTCGGGTGCTTCTCCACGTGCTCTCGAGAGGGCGTGGCGGTGTTGGACCGGATGCGGCGGTGGCAGCGGCGAGCTCGGGGGGAGGGGGGGACGCGCCGATGCCATCCCCGCGTCTCGGCGCGCTGGTGCTGAACGGAAACCCGGGGATCGGGGCCGGCGCGCTGAGGGAGCTCTGCGGCGGCGGCGGCGGCGGTAGCGGCAGAGGGATGAACGCTTCTCGCAACGGCAGCGGCGGCAGTCTGTTCTCTTCCTTGCTGCGGTTGGAGCTGTCCGCGTGCCGCCTGACCGCCGCCGACCTGGAAGGCTTTTCGTCGAACGGCGCCGGACCCCCGTCCTTCGACCAGACTGCTGCCGCGACCGTGTGCTTGCGAGCGCTGGTATTGCGGGACAACCCCCTGACCCGATTGAGAGAACGGGGGCCCGTGGATGGGGGCAACGAGGACGAGGACGCCTGGATCGAGCCGGCACGGAAGGGCACGGTTGCGTTGCAACACTTGATCGCTCGGGCGCCGTCGCTTGAGGTGTTGGACGTGTCCGGTAAAGTACAGCCTCCGAGTAAAAACACGTGTCTAGCTACCGTTTTCTGCTGTGAGGGAATTGTTGAGTGGCACTGCCAACACTTGCTCGTTCCTGTCACACGCCAGGACCGCCGTTGAAACCAACCGCAATTTTCGCCACAACGCTGGCATTTTTTTTTGTTCTGGTGGTACCACACGGTGTGTTGTTTTGCTACGTACCGGCCGTCGGTGTCGACCTCGGTCGCCGTGTCTTATAAGCCTTTTTTGGTTGCGAGAAGTCGGTGTGGAGTACGTGACGAGATCCAACGCCGGGTGTATGATGTGCACGTACATGTGCGACAATTGCGGGCTATGCTACTTATTTCTTCCCTACAATAGGACGACTTCCTTGTCCGTTTTTTTTTTATGTTGGCACACGACTGACCGGTGAAGCAATCACAGTTTATACGTTGCACATATACTTCTAGATAACAAACAAGCACATCGTTGTCGGCTTCCTACTGCTAGCCTTATCCCCAGGATTTTGGCTGTACCGTTTCCCAAAAAAAACGTCTTCTTACTGCTCCGTTGGTGCCGGTAAATATTGGATGCTTCTTCCTCCGCCCCTCGCCGCGATACCAGGTTGCAGCCAGATCCCAGATGGCCCCGTGAGACGGTTGTACAGCCCCCAAGTCTCGGACCTCCTCGCCTCCGCTCTAAGCGCCGGCCTGGAAGCCAGAGTAGTTGCGGGCAAACTCGCTGCCGCCACCGGCGCCGGCCGCGTTGCCGACGGGAGTGGCGGTGACGGTGGAAACGACGAACGAAGCGAGAGCGACGGTCGAGCGCAGGTATCCACGCTTCGCATGGGGAACAACCGCTTCTCCCGGGAGTCGTGGGGGGATGTGCTGGAGGTCCTCTCGTCGAACCCCCCGCGGGAGTTGGACCTGTCGTTCGCGTCGGTGCTGCCTGGCCGCTCCGCCGCCACCGCCGATGGTGTTGTGACCACCGCTACCGCGGCGGCCGTTGCCTTGCCGCCGGTGCGTGGCGGCAACGACGACTCGCCGGGTGCCGTCACGCCACCGCCGCGGCCGGCGCCGCCCGCGCAAACGCTGGGCGAGCTGCTCGCGGCGACGGTTCTCCCGGCCGACGCCCCCGGTGTGGAAACCCTCAACCTGACGGGGTCCACGGGCCTGCTTCTGCTCGATGATCGTCGGCGGCAGCAGCGGCGGGAGGTTGACGGAGGTGGGGGGGTCGAAGATTCCTCTGCACCCCTTGCTTGTCCGTCTTCTTCGGGGATGGAGGCGTTTTTGCTGCTTCTCCGGGATACCCTCATGTCCCCGCTGTGCGAGACGACGCACCTCTTGCTCTCGGGAGTCAGAGGGCCGCCACCGCCGCCGCCCGCCCGCAACAACGTCGACTGCAACTCCGCCGCTCCCGGCGGTGCGCCGCCGTCGCCGCCACCCGCCGCCGTCTTCGGCCCTCGAGATGCCAAGAGCCTGTGCGAGGCGGCCTCGGCTTGCGCGTCGTTGCGGTGCCTGGACCTCGCCGGGTGTGACCTCTCCGGCCCCGTCGGCGCCGCCGCCGCCGCGGCCGCGGTGTCGTGCCTGATAAGCAACCACGACGAAGACGAGGTTGGTTTAGGCATGGCCGGCGGCCGCCTAAGGCGGCTCAGCCTGCGGGCGTGCGCGCTGGGGGCGGCCGGATTGGCGGTGGTCGTGCGGGCTCTCGTCGCGGAGCCAGGAGGCGGTTCGGGGCCGGGGACACGGCGGAAGGGTCGTTCCCTGCCGAAGCTGCTAGACCTGTCAGACAACCGGCCTCTGGCTGGTGCGGCGGTCGGCACGGCACGCCCGGAGCAAGACGGGGGGCTGGGGGAGGCGGACTTGACGGAGCTGGCGGGGTTGGTTCGTGTGCTGGAACGGGAGTTCATGGTTTCTGTGGCCGTGACCCGTGACCAAAGGCGCGCGTTCGGAAGGTATGCCTCCCCAATGGGCTCGAGCTGTATAACCCCGCCGTCGTGAGATATGTAGGCCGACCTATTTTTTCGGGGGAGCTGCAATACGTGCTGTTGTTCGGTCAGGCGTTACGGCAAGATCAACAAGTCGCAGATTGTCTCGGGGATTAGAGTTGTTTTGGGCGACGGAGAGCAATGAGCGAGGTACTACTGCTGTACCGGCCACCGTGCTTTTGTAGTCCATGGTGTTTGGGCATTGTGGTACCGCAGTATTTCGTGGAGAAGGCGAAAAGCGAGGTGGAGAAGTTTTTCACCCCGTCCGCCTGAAGAACAGAACATCAAATGTGTACTTTTTTGGTTTGGACCGATCACCCGCCCTCGTCTCCCATCCTTGTTTCCTTTTACCACACGCGGTGCCCCCGCTGAAGTCAGTGCCCTCCGGGGACGTTTCACGTCTCATGCTTGAGATTCGGTGGCCACCGCTGATGTCCGTAGACTACTGCTATAGGTGATCATGACTCGTCGGGGACACATATGTAGTCTATCCCTGCTGGTCCCATCCCGGATATCCTACCAGGATTGCACACCTTCTTCCTTTGTCCACCTGCTTTGCTGACTGACGACCCACATCACCTCGATACGTTCATCCGTTTTTTCCGATGTTCAAAATACCAGGCCCCGTGTTTCCTCAGGCCATGAGCCAGCAGCGCTAGTCGATCTCTCTGGCAACGGCCTGGGCCTTCTGCCTGAGAGACACCCCTGAGGCTCGCTGTAGAGTCTAGAGAGCAACAACAAGACTTTGTGCTGTTGATCAGTCACCTCGGATTAGAGCCATGCATGCTGCGTGACTGTTTGTTTGTGTTCTGTTGATCAGTTGTACATGACGTGCTTATTAGAAGAGTCGGGAGGCCCACACGGGTCGATGATTTCGGATGGGTCGAGGGGGAAGAAGCACGGAGGTGGCCAGTGTTTTTTTTTCGAGTTTTCCAGAGTTGGCGATTATTCTCGCGGAGCACGGATGGATGGATGCGTCTTGCTTTTGCTCCCCCGAGAAGCGCCCACTTTTGGAGGCTGCGTAACTTTTTTTGTGTGCTTGAACGCGATGGGAATCAAGGAAGTTTGTTTGTCGAACTGGCTCCTTTAGTTATCGGAGATCGCGTAAGGGCGCGCGGACGCCGCGTGCGCCGGACCGGGGGGAAACATGATCCCAAGGAGAGAGAAATAAATTCAAAATTTTGAATCTTGCAGTCTATTGTATCATCGGTCTATGCATACATGCTTGGAAGCTGGAAGCGTTAAGGGCAGATAGTTGTGGACAACAAGCGGTGCAAAGCGCACTGCTGAACTGCTTAACACATTTTCAAGACCTGATGACTAACATACAAATGAATCAGCATTACAGCTGGACCTGCACGGACCGCCCCTCTCGAGTTCGCCCATGCATCTCGCATCGGATCAACGCACATGCATAATGCAGCACCATCATGCATGTGTGTATGCCAAAGGTATTATGTGTGTTCGTCCCATCTACTCTGGCGCCGGTTTACAGGCCGTTCCGCGTATGTACCTGACCTATCAGCCGGGGTCACCCCATGTAAGCATGTAATATCCTACGTCCTACCGCTGTATGACCGTTGCATGATCATGTGTGTAGGGGGGTGGTTTTGCTCCCGTTCCTCTCCGTCGTGCCCCCCTTTTGACATCATGTGTCTCCGTGCGGGACGCAAACCACACTGACTGACTGTTACCACACCGTGCCCAGCCACCGAAGAGATGGTGTCTCGCAGGTATAGGCGCTTGGCGGTGGCCACCGCCTCGTTCGCCGCCTCCCTGGCGGCGTCCAGCAACAGATGTTGCTGCTGCGATGCCTTCCTCTCCGCGCCGCGGTCCTCCTCAGCAAGAGCAGCACCTGGTAGACCGGCATCATCGGGAACACAGCAGCGCCGAGGCCTGCCACTGCCACCAGCGCGCTGCCCCTCTGCAGCCGCCCCGACGGTCGCGACGATGAGCTCAGAGGATGATGAAAACAGCAGCGGTGATAGCAGCAGCTTGGATGTGGAGAACGTCGTGATCATCGGGAGGTGAGTGAGCCAGCCATGAGAGTACGATGTAGTACGTGTCAGCAGTGCCGTGGTCCGCCGGGCTGTGCGCTGTGCGCCGCACGCGACGATCCCGTAGGCTGCTGCACGGGTCGATCGAGTCGTATGTCTGATCTCGCCAGACACAGGCACGTGCTCGTCTTTCCTGCCGGTGGCGGTGCCATGAAGGCGTGCGTATGGCGGAGTTTTTGTACAGTATCGAGCCGGTGCCACCTCCCGACATACCAAGCAAGCATACTGTATGCGGGCGGAAATCGCAGCTCTGGTGCAACAACGGCACACACACATGGCATGAGGGCACACTCCCCTTTCACATCCCACTTCGTTCAATTTCCATGCTATGATACGAAAGTGGCGGTACACTGCACTACCAACTCGTGGACAATGTAGTAATCCGCCCAGGACCTCTGCGATGCCACTGCTATATCCATGCATACGAAGCTCACAGCAGCAAGTACATAGGTAAATGTCTGTTGCAGAGACGGCGCCCCACACCAGAACCGTGGTACTGCACCGGGTTGGCACCGCTGCTGTTTTGCCCCAAGGCCCCAAGCGGCTAGCGCCTTCGTTGGCCCGCTGTATACGGGGAAACGTAACTTGGATTGCTGTGTAGGAGTAATGGGTTTGTGTGTTGGAGGTTCATGTTTATAGATTGATTTTTGGTCTTGTTGACGCTGTCGGTTTGCTGCGTGTGTTCCCCCCTCCCTAACAAAAGTGGTCCCGCTGGGTACACCGCTAGTATATACGCCGGCCGCGCTAACCTCAAGCCCCTCTGCTTCGAGGGACTGAACGTCGGCCCACCGGGGGGGCAGCTGATGACGACAACGGATGTGAGATGAGTTGGGGTAGAGGGTGCCTTATTGAGAGACTTGCGAAGAACTCGCTATTTAGGCACTTGTCGGCACAGGTGTTTTAGATCCGATGCATCTGTGAGTAAATAGATGGAATTTGTCTTCCTAGCCAGACATTGGGGAGATCGTGTACCGTTATCGAAGGGGATCTCATGTGTCTTTGCTAAAATCGACCGTGCGACGTAGTAACCGATCGACCAATTGAATAGACACCAGCTGAGGGAGCAGCGATACACACAATAATGCGAGTGTTTATTATTAGCATCGACCGCGCCGACCAGCTGGCCAATGTTGCGCACGCGCTCGCCTCTCGCCCCTCACTGCCTGCCACCAGGTCGACAACTTTCCGGGTTTCCCCGCAGGCGTTACCGGCCCGGACCTGATGAACGGCATGCGGGACCAGGCGTTGAGGTGGGGGGGGGTGTTTAAGACGGAGGACGTGGAGGAGGTTGATTTTTCCAGCAGGCCGTTCGTTGTGCGCTCTACGTCGAGAACGGTCAAGGCGCAGACGGTCATCATCGCTACAGGTTTGTACGTTGCTGCTGCTGCTGCTGCTGCTGCTGTTGGTTGCACATTTGTCTACCGATGGCGTCCCCATTCCCGGCTTGTTCCGCCGAGTGGCGGACGGAATTACCGTACCGTGGCCGCCGCCTGATATGTGGAACGAAGACGTACGAAAAATGTGACTCTCCAGTAGGAACTATACCAGAAGAGAGCAACACACGCCGCACCAGGAACTAAACCTGGCTGGGAACTAAACCTAGCTGGGAACTAAATCCGACGTTAGTTGTTGTTGTTGACGCTTTTCGCCCAGGCTCGGAAACCAAGGGTAATATCCATACAGACAAAAAACAGCTCCTACAAGCAACCCTTACAGAGGGTGATGATACGTCTCAACATCGCGCTCTCGTTTTGCTAAACATATTGCGGGAAGCTGGGGAGGAAACTACCGCAGGTGACGCAAGATACCACACCCCCAGGACTGATTTTCCAAAGCTCAAGTTATTCCTTCTCAGCTGAAGAAAGAGTGGCGGTACCGAACCATGACGGCGTCGGGGCAGCCCGTCACGTCGAGAGCTTTCCGATCGTGGTGACTCATAGCATGCATCCTCTTCGTCGTGGAGTAAAAAAAAACGAGCTGTGAAAATCGATCCCAAGGGGGCGTGATAACTTACGTCATGACCCCTGCGGTACACCGCCGGTGTGTCTGTTCTGGCCCACGCACAGGGGCGACCGCGAAACGGCTTCGACTGCCTTCGGAGGATGACTTCTGGAGTAGGGGTATCTCCGCGTGTGCCATCTGCGACGGGGCGGCGCCTATCTTTGCCGACGTGCCGCTGGGGGTGGTCGGGGGCGGGGACTCCGCGGTGGAGGAGGCGGTGTACTTGACGAAGTATTCGCCGAAGGTGCGATCGATGGTCGTGGTTGGTTGGTTGGCTGGTTGTTGTTGTTATTGTTATTGTTTTTGTTTTTGTTGCTGTTGTTGTTGTTGTTATTGTTTTTGTTTTTGTTGTTGTTGTTGTTGTCGTCGTCGCCGTCCTTGTTGTTGTTGTTAAGGTGTCGCCGTCCTTGTTGTTGTTGGTGATGTTTTTGCAGCTAGTGTCCGGAGGGGAACAGTTACGAAACCACCTGATACCGAGCTGCCTTCTCTGGCCTTCACACTCTGTCGCTTGTCCAATCGCACACCCCGCTGTTGGAGCTTTGGCGTTGCTGGTGGGTAATTTGGAAACAACCTTGAGAAGGGGTGCGTGTGCGGCAAAAGGAAAAAGGCACCACGCGACAGGGACAAAATCGACCGCGCTAAAGAACCGGGGCGAGACAATGTAAAACCAAGAGTCTTGTTGCCTACCCTTTTGTCGGGAAGGTGAAGAGTACATGTGACCAAGCGTTGACGGTATCTCTACAAATCGTGAGAACGGTTTTGGGTGGACAAATGTTCAACTGAGTCACTGGAAAGCAGCGGCACGTGGTGTTTCCCGCAGACAAAGTAATCCATTTGTTGAAAGTTTTTCTCACATTTATACAACGAACTAGTTCATCCCTATCCACAGATAGCAGTCCGAGATAAACTAGCAATGCATCGATCGCTTTAGCTGACACCTTTTCGACTCGTGCTCACGCGTGTGCTCCCTCGCATCGTCATCGATCGTTCGATACAGATGCACTTGTTTGTGAGCTATCCACAGATAAATGTCCGGAATAAACGTGTTGTATATTCACAAGACTAGCGGAGATTCTTCCATTTTTGACCCATTGTCACGCGTGTGCGCATCCTCATCGACCGATCGATCCGGGTGCACTTAGACGACGCTCATTGAGCCATGCTCACGCCTATGCCCCCTTGCATCGCTATCGATCGATCGATACAGGTGCACTTGTTTGTCAGGAAGACGACGCTGGTGGCGTCGAGGGCGATGGTCGATCGCCTGGCGGAGGAGACCTCGGTGAGAGCGAGCGTCTCTCGAGGTGCCGAGGTTGCGTGTATCACGGCGGGTTCTGTGTCTACCTTCACTCATTGTTTTATGGCCCTCTCTTACTTCTCGCTCTCTCTCGCTCTCTCTCTCGCTCTCTCTCTCTCGCCCTGTTTTCCACTCGCTGCCTGCCGGTCTTGCTCTGTATTTACAGCAAGTGTGTTCCGAAATCCTCACGCCGATTTGAGTGACATGCAGTGTAGATCCCTACAAAAGAGCACCCTAACCGGCGCATTGGGCGCTAGGAGTGTTGCCACGAACGCCTCTTGAACCGCATCGAGCTACCGTGAACACACGAAAGTGTCGTCGATGCTACCAGCCATCCAAGGAACAACAAGACTTGCACCAAGGGCTTGTCGAAGCTACCAGCCATGGAAGGAAACAAGTCTTGCGCCAAGGGTTTACAGAAAGACATTGTGTTTCCCCTACCCGTACTGAACCAGGCAAACCTCGGCCACTGTGGCAGTGGCAGAAAGTATCCTCCTCGCTCGAGTACGAAGCACGGTTTTCAGATCCTCTGACTGTCGCGAGCTATCTGTCTGGACATTGGTGTGCTGCGCTTCTGCCAGCCAGCCAAGACATCGACCTGTTCGGCGACTTGTCCGAAGACGAAGGCAACTCTGGATCGTCTGTTGAAGACAACAGCAAAAATAGTCCTGCTAAGGGTAAAGGCAAGCAGAAAGCCCACGCAGACGTGCAAGCTGCATGAAAGTGGAGTTTGCACGTCTGCGTTCTTGCCTTTTGCCCTTAGCAGGACTGCCGCTGTTGTCTTCCACAGATGCTTCAGGGTCGTCGTCATCTTCGGCCAGCTCGGCGAAACAGGTCGATGTCTTGGCTGGCTGGTGGAGTAGGTGGTCCCCCCATTCGCATGTAAGAACAACTCTTCCAGAAGAGGTTGGTGCTGTCGTTGTCGATCCTACTGTGCTTCTCTGACCTTGCGTGCAGCTCGTCGACGATCGGCTCGCCTGACAGCTTGTTTACTTTGACATCCGCCGGGATGGCATCTACCTTGCTGCCGATCTCTAGTTGCCGAGCCTGCTCCAAAAAATTCTCATTCCTTGGTTGAATGTAAAGGCCAGAATCTGAACGGCTAGCGATCGATGGAAGCCCTTCGAAGTGCCTGAAGAGATCGGCAGGTAGACCTGCCGACCGGACGCGGTTAGGGTTGGGGATAGGGCTAGGGTTAAGGACGTGGTACACGCTAAAACGCTCGCTTTCGATGAGGTACCGTGAGAGCTATCATATAGGTGGTTCAAAATGTTCCAACTCAGTACTTTTAGCTCCTACTTCGCGGCCGGTATTCCCGCTTTCAACAGTGGCGGCTTGCGGTCCGCTGGTTTTCTAACTCCCGAACACGATTTCGCGAGTTTTTTTTTATTAATCCTTGCCATTTAGCCTACCACCTTTCGAACCAAGCTACATACATGGCCCCCACGATCCCCTTGTCACCCCGAATGGGCACGATGACCGCAACACCCCCCCCCCTCTGGTCCTTTCCCGTGGCACGATCGCTGAAAGCATTCAGGCACGACTGAGCGGGAGAGAGACATCCATGAACTAACCCCTTCCCCCCTCCTCTTTCCAATTTGTTTTGGTACGTATGTACCCCCCCTCATACGAAAGGTGGAAGTACACCTGGGCACGATCGTGGAGGACGTGCTAGGAGAAACCGAGGGAACAAGCCCCGACGGAGGTTCGCCTCTGACTGGCGTGCGGGTGCGTAACACCTCCTCCGATGAGAGCACGGAGGTGCCGCTTCGGGGCCTGTTCTACGCCATCGGACACCGCCCAAATACGGGGCTTTTGGGGGTGAGTCGCGGCGGAAAACCACAAAAAAAAAAGCCGTTATGGTTGTTGTTGTTGTTGTTGTTTTCTTCACATTTAACAACCATTCCGATCTCTAAACTCAGCTACTTAGTGCCTTCATCTGTCCATACTGGTCCATCACTTCATGTGGTAGCATCGCCAAAGGAAAGGCGTTAGCATCACGAAAGAAAAATGCCTAAGAATAGCAGCATTAAAGAAATGCATTATTAGCATCCCCAGAGAAAGACTTTGGGAGCATCAAAGAAAGGCATGAGCAGCACCAGCAAAATGTGTTGTTACAGCTGCACCAAGAGAGGGGCGTTCGGGTTGTTGAGATCTTGTTTTGTCCTTTGCCTACGGACGGCGGTGATGGCGTTTGATTTGCCGGGTCTCTCTGGTTGTTGATCTGCGGCATCGATTCGGTGAGAGACGAAGCAGGTTTTTTATTCCCGTCGTTAGTTTTTTGTCGTTTTCGATCATCTGTGCCTTCCGGTACGCGCACGATCGACCGCCATCCTCCGAACAACGCACGAAACGGTTTTCGTTGGCTATTGTGTTTTCTTCGGTCGGCTGTTCTTACACATGTTTTCCCCCCTTTTGGCCTCCTCGTGTCCATGGATTTTTCAGCTAGTTAAGCCAGAAACGAAACCTCCGCTACACGTGGTCTCTCCCTGCCCCAGCGTGTTTCGTTTTCAACCTCGAATCCGAAGGAACTTTTTTTTTCCCTCGCTCTCGCTGATCTCATCGGTCGGCCTCCGCCTCCGCCATTCGTCGACATTGTCTTTTGATGTCACCCAGGGCCAAATAGAGTTGGACGAGCAGGGGTACATAAAGGTGAAGGCGGGGACGCCGGAGACGAACGTAGAGGGCGTGTTTGCGGCAGGGGACGTGCAGGACAGAGAGTGGCGACAGGTGTGTGTGTGTTTGTGTGTATGTGTTTCTGTTGTTAGCATGGACCGCGCTAACCTTCTGGCCAATGAAAAGACGTCAGTCTCAAGTGCGTTTGAAAACCAAAAAATGCTGTGTGTGCTATTGTCTTTATGTCAGCACCGGCCGAGCCTATTGTGTGTGCCTTTTATTTTTTATTTTAGCATGGACCGAGCCTTGGCCGACCAATGAAAATACGCCAATCTCTGTGTGTGTGTGTGTGTGTCTTTACTAGCATCAAGCGCGGTAACCGGCAGACCGATGAAAAGGCGTCAGTGCCGCTGACACCGGAAAACGCGTCTACAGTCCATGGTCTGGGGTGGTGTGTGTTGTATCAGTATCGTGTTTTCGTTTTGTCCGGCACCAGGGCATGCGTTTACATGAGTACACCCCCCGCTGTAGGAAGGAACGATTGACCATCGGTGATCGGTCTTGTTGGAACAACGCTCCGCCCTCTCGAGGACTCGTCGTCAATGGTCTAACGACTATGGCATGCACGACTATGAGTACCCCCCCCCCCCCCCCCCCGGGGTTTGCCATCGGGGGTGGGTTTTCGTCCCTTGGCAACGACGTTTTAAAACAACCCCCCCCCCCCGGGTTTGCCCTCCGGATTGGGTTTTCCTCCCTTGGGAACCAAATTTTAAAAAAAACCCATTTACTCCGTGAACTCCGCCACCCGGGTACCGGGTTTTTTTTTTTCCCCTGGGTTTTTTTTTTGGGGGGAACCCTAAAGGGAGTCCAGGAAAACAAGTTGGGGGGGGGCCAGAAAAAACCCCCTCCCC